GATGACAGGCGTGAGTCCTAGTGAACATAATTTCCTAAGTGGAAAAGGGATCTGCACACATCCAGGCCAAGATCACTGAACACAACTATCACAAGATCACAATTTCATTAATGAATTTAAACTATATAATCTCTAAGATCTCTTCCAGCCTCGAAGTTCTATGATACTAGTTAACTAGAAGTTAAGAGGGGAAATAGAATATTGGGGTTTTTTCCTTTCCTTTCCTTTTTTTTTTTTGAGATGGAGTCTCACTCTGTCACGCAGGCTGGAGTGCAGTGGTATGATCTCGGCTCACTGCAACCTCCACCTCCCAGGTTCAAGCGATTGTCCCACTTCAGCCTCCTGAGTAGCTGGGATTACAGGTGTGCGCCACCACATATGGCTAATTTTTGTATTTTTGGTAGAGACGGGGTTTTACCATGTTGGCCAGGCTGGTCTTGAACTCCGCACCTCAAATGATCCACCCACCTCAGCCTCCCAGAGTGCCGGGATTACAGGCTCGTGAGCCACCGCGCCTGACTAGAAATAGGATATTAATTCAACAAATATTTATTACTATAACCTTATGTTAAAAAGTGAATAAGGCCGGGCGTGGTGGCTCAAGCCTGTAATCCCAGCACTCTGGGAGGCCGAGACGGGTGGATCACGAGGTTGAGAGATCGAGACCATCCCGGTCAACATGGTGAAACCCCGTCTCTACGAAAAATACAAAACATTAGCTGGGCATGGTGGCGTGTGCCTGTAATCCCAGCTACTCAGGAGGCTGAGGCAGGAGAATTGCCTGAGCCCAGGAGGCGGAGGTTGCGGTGAGCCGAGATCGCGCCATTGCACTCCAGCCTGGGTAACAAGAGTGGAACTCCATCTCAAAAAAAAAAAAAAAAGTGAATAAGGCAGTCTGCCCTCGGGGAGTGTAAAGTCAAATGAGAAAATGAACACTAAATCCTTGTAATACTGTATAAAGGTTGTGTAAATAATAGCATACATTTCTTGAACACTTACTATATGCCAGGTGCCATTCTAAACACTTTACAACTGAACTTCACAATTCCACTTCCAGTAGATCGGTTCTCTTATCTCCACTTGGCTAAAGAAACAGACATAAAGAGGTTTAATAATTTGTCTTTTTTTTTTTTTTTTTTTTTTGAGACAGAGTTTTGCTCTTGTTACCCAGGCTGGAGTGCAATGGCACAATCTCGGCTCACCGCAACCTCCCTCTCCTGGGTTCAAGCAATTCTCCTGCCTCAGCCTCCCGAGTAGCTGGAACTACAGGCGTGCGCCACCATGCCCAGCTAATTTTTGTATTTTTAGTAGAGACGGGGTTTCACCATGTTGACCAGGATGGTCGCAATCTCTTGACCTGGTGATCCACCCGCCTCGGCCTCCCAAAGTGCTGGGATTACAGGCGTGAGCCACCGCGCCCGGCCTAGAGGTTTAATAATTTGCCAGTAGGTGACACAGCAAGTAATTTGGCTTCAGGGTCTATGTTCAATCACTAAGCAAGTTAACAGCATTATTGATGGAAGATTGGAAGGAGCGTGCATGAAGGCTCTCACATTTGTGTTACAAGTTCTTAGTGATTTTGTGACATTAAGTAGGTTTAGGTCAGGGGTCCCCATGCCCCAGGCCATGGACAGATACTGGTCCATGAGCAAGCGAAGCTTCATCAATATTTACAACAGCTCCCTATTGCTCACATTACCACCTGAGCTCAGCCTCCTGTCAGATCAGCCTTGGCATTAGATTCTCATAGCATGAACCCTATTGTGAACGTCACATGCAAGGGATCTAGGTTGTGGGCTCCTTATGAGAATCTAATGTCTGATGATCTGTCACTGTCTCCCATCACCCCTAGATGGGACTAGCTGCAGGAAAACAAGCTTGAGGCTCCCACTGATTCTAACTTATGATGAGTTGTATAATTATTTCATTATATATTGTAATGTAGAATAAAGTGCACAATATGGCTGGGCACGGTGGTTCATGCCTGTAATCCCAGCACTTTGGGAGACTGAGGCAGGCGGATCATGAGATCAGTAGATGGAGACCATCCTGGCTAAAACGGTGAAACCCCTTTTCTACTAAAAATACAAAAAATTAGCCGGGTGTGGTGGCAGGTGCCTGTAATCCCAGCTACTCAGGAGGCTGAGGCAAAAGAATCACTTGAACCCAGGAGGCAGAGGTTTTAGTGAGCTAAATTCGCACCACCGCACTCCAGCCTGGGCAACAGAGCGAGACTCCATCTCAAAAAAAAAAATAAATAAAAAATAAAAAATAAATGTAATGTGCCTGAATCACCCCGAAACCACCCACCATGTCTCCACCCTGTGAAAAAATTGTCTTCCACCAAACTGACCCCTGGTGCCAAAAAGGTTGGGGACTGCTGGTTTAAATCACATTTTCTTTGGCCCTTGGTGAAATCCCCATCAGCATAACCAGGAGGAAACCACTTCTCTGAGGCTTTTCTGTTTGTTTGTTTGTTTTGGGGACAAAGTCTCACTCTTGCGTAGGCTGGAGTGCAGTGGCCCAATCTCCGTTCACTGCAACCTCTGCCTCCTGGGTTCAAGCAATTATCGTGCCTCAGCATTCCGAGTAGCTAGGATTACAGGCGCCCGCTGCCACGCTGGCTAATTTTTATATTTTCAGTAGAGATGGGGGTGAGGGGGTTCACCATGTTGGCCAGGCTGGTCTCGAACTCCCCACCTAGGGTCATCCGCCCACCTCAGCCTCCCAAAGTGCTGGGATTACAAATGTGGACTTCCTGCCCAGCCAGAAAACTACTACTTTGGAGTCCACAGGGAACTGGGTACAAATTCCAGGTTTATCACTTAACTGGCAAACTTGACCAAGTCAAAGCTTCATTTGTTTAACTAAAAGAGAGAAGTTCCTTGGGCTAGAGGCCACAACCTGGTGAGGCAGTGGCTTCTGACATGAGAAGAGAGCTTGAAAGGGAAGTAGCAGGATTAAAAAAAAAAAAAAAAATCAGTTTTCCATCCCTTTTAATGTTTAACTCCAGATACTTGCCTATGTAAAGGAGTTCAGCTCCAGTGAACAGCAGAACTAGAATTCTCAACTGATGATGGAGATGTATCTGTCCATGTAACTATGGGCGTCATTGGGAGGTTATAACGATTAAATACTAAGTTGAGCCATATGAACCTACTGCTTCTGGAGGCAAAAACAGTCTAACAGATCATGGGAAATGGGGGTAATCTACCAGAATGGTAAGGATTCCTTTGTGTTTCTGATTTTTTAAACGCTTCAGCCCGAAATTCTTCCTTTTCACCTCTCTTGCCCAAAGTGTAGTGCCTACCAACGGTCTGCGTGGCCCTGGAAGCTCGGAGGTTGCACTCTGTTGACCTACCCTATTGAGGCCAATAAGTTAGTCAAGGGACAGCCTCATGAGATTTGGCAGTTTCACAAGGATCTGGAGTTCTTTCCAGTGAGCCGCAAGAACATCCCTTGGGGCTGGAGAAGTCAAGAGCCCTGACACATAACCTACCACACACACACTGAGTACACTTTCACCCTCCTTTTCAATGCCTATTTGCCTTGCTGTACAATGAGTAGTGACATTGGTTCTATTTTCAATTTTAATTTTTTTTTTTTTTTTTTTTTGAGACGGAGTTTCGCTCTTGTTACCCAGGCTGGAGTGCAATGGCGTGATCTCGGCTCACCGCAACCTCCGCCTCCTGGGTTCAGGCAATTCTCCTGTCTCAGCCTCCTGAGTAGCTGGGATTACAGGCACGCGCCACCATGCCCAGCTCCTTTTTTTTTTTTTTTTTTTTTTTTTTTTTTGTATTTTTCGTAGAGACGGGGTTTCACCATGTTGACCAGGATGGTCTCGATCTCTTGACCTTGTGATCCACCCGCCTTGGCCTCCCAAAGTGCTGGGATTACAGGCTTGAGCCACCGCGCCCGGCCCCCCAATTTTAATTTTTGAGACCGAGTTTCGCTCTGTTGCCCAGGCTGCAATGCAATGGCACCATCTTGGCTCACTGAAACCTCAGCCTCCTGGGTTCAAGTGATTCTCCTGCCTCAGCTCCCCAAGTAGCTGGGATTACAGGCATGCATGCACCACCGCACCCAGCTAATTTATGTATTTTTAGTAGAGACAGGGTTTCACCATGTTGGCCAGACTGGTCTCGAACTCCTGACCTCGGTGATCCAACCGCCTCAGCCTCCCAAAGTGCTAGGATTGTAGGCCTGAGCCACCAGCCCAGCGGGTTCTATTTGTAAATGTGGAAACTGAGGCACAGAGAGGGTCAGGTCTTGTCCAAGGTCACGCACTTCTTGGAGTTGGAAAGGAGGGGTTTGGCGTCAGATGGATCAACATAGGCACTGCCTCTAGATGTGTCACCTTCACAAGGTTCTTGGACATCTGGGGCCTGTTTTTTTTTTTGTTGTTTGTTTTTGAGACGTACTCTAGCTCTGTCGCCTAGGCTGGAGTGCAGTGGCGCCATCTCGGCTCCCTGCAACCTCTGCCTCCCAGGTTCAAGCAATTCTCTGCTCAGCCTCCCGAGTAGCTGGAATTACAGGCGCCCGCCACCACGCCGGGCTAATTTTTGTATTTTTAGTAGAGACGCAGTTTCACCATGTTGGCCAAGCTGGTCTTGAAATCCTGACCTTGTGATCCACCCACCTTAGCCTCCCAAAGTGCTGGGATTACAGGCGCGAGCCGCCGCGCCCGGAGCCTGTTTCTTTTTCTAGGAAAGGTCGCTGATAACTCTTGTCTTCGTATAACTCTTCAGCCCAAGTCCGCTCTTTGGCAGCTCCAGACGTGGGAAGACCCCGAAGGAGACACTGCGAGAAGCAGAGAGCGTGCGTGCGAGCGTGAGAACTCAAACCGTGGGCGCCGGACCGACGCTCACGCGCAGCCCCACAACAACATCAGTATTTAATTTCCAGGAGAGACAGAATTGGGCCTCATCACCACCAGACTCAAGCCGCCTGCAAGATCCGCAGCGAACTCCGACAGCAGACCGGAACTGCCCCGTTCCCCGGAAAGAAGGGCGGAACTTTTGGCCCAAGTGCCCACACTACCGACACGGAGAGCTCCGGAAGGGGACGGCCCGCGCCTGCGCGTCTCCATCTTGCTAAAAGAGTCGCCCCTTTCCCTCCGCTGGTCGCTCGTTTGCCACCGGCGGGGTTGCACCTTTCGGCAGGGCGGGGCCCGGCCATGGCGACCGCGGAGCCCAGCGGGCACGCGGTGCGGGTGTCTACCCCGGGATCCCAGCCCAGCGGGGCTCGGGACCGCGCGCCGGGCGCCGCCGGGCCACCCTCCGGACAGATCGGTAACAGAGCCCTCCGGCTGGGTGGGCGCACCCCCGCCGCCGTGGAGAAGCGGGGTCCGTACATGGTGGCGCGCGCACCCTCCATTCAAGCCAAGCTGCGTGAGTGTGGTCCGATGGTCGGGGGTGGTCTGTCCCTGGGCGGGCTGCCACGTACCCAGGGCGGGCTTCGGAGCTCCGTTGGGCCTCGGCCCCGGAGAGAAGGGGTTAGCTGCAGCCTGCTCCCGCCCCTCAAAATCCGTTCGGAAAGAGCGGCCTCCAAGCCTTCGGGAGACGCGGCGGAGTGGGGAAGACCGGCTGACCCGGGCCCTTTAACTTCCAGAGAAGCACCGGGACCTGGCCAAGGCCGTTCTGCGGAGAAAAGGCATGCTGGGGGCCTCGCCGAACCGGCCAGACTCTTCAGGGAAAAGGTCTCAGCAGGCGCTACCTCCTCTGTGCCGACAGCTGTAGAGAAGGCCTTAATCCCCAGAACGGGAGACAGGGTGCTCTGGTTTAAGGCCGAGCTAGCGATTCCCCTGATGCAACCTATTTTTAAAATGGGAAGAGGAACAATTTCCTCTTTTCCTATAAGGATGCGATAGGATCGGGGAAAGGGCTTCGGAGTAAGGGAGTTCTGTGAGTGCACAGGCTCATTCGCTATCATTCTCCTCTTCAGGGAGAATGACGAAGAGCAGTGTGGGAACGGCTAGACCTGTTTTTGTTTGTAACAGAATAGTAAACTCGGAGCTGAATAGAACTTTATTCAGTGCCCCCTTTTACAGATGAGGGTTGAAACTCAGAGAAGCGAATGTTAGAGTTAACCCTAACCCTTTGCCCAAAGACTTGCAATTTTTGTGTCCTCTGATTAAGTATGTGGGAAGAGGGGGCTTTTCCTGGTTCAGTAAAGGGGAAGTGCGCTTTCTCCCAAGAGCTATGGGAGAAGTAGAATACAGGCTGGGCGCGGTGGCTCACAACTATAATTCCAGCACTTTGGGAAGCCAAGGTGGTTGGATCACTTGAGGTCAAGTGTTGGAGACCAGCCTGGCCAACAGGGCGAAACCCTGTCTCTATTAAAAATACAAAATTAGCAGGGTATACCTGTAGTCCCAGCTACTCGGGAGTCTGAGGCTCTCGGAGAATCAGTTGAACCCGGGAGGCAGAGATTGCAGTGAGCCGAGATCACACCACTGCACTCCAGCCTGGGTGACAGGACCAGACTCTGTCTCAAAAAAAAAAAAAAAAAAAAAAAAAGAGGACATATATATTCTAAGGCACTGTGGCCAGGTACATGGAGCTGCAGGCGGTGGTGGCTGTGACCACGAAGAAGGCAAGTCAGTAGTGCAGTCGATGCCTCTGCCTTTAGAGTAAGGGCTCTGGCCCCCCCTGCGACACGCCTGTGCTTTCATCTATGCTTGGTCTCTTCTCCCCCACCTCCCTTCAGGTCAGTGAAGTTTAACAAGGGCTATACTGCTCTTAGCCAGAGTCCAGATGAGAACCTGGTGTCCCTCGACTCTGACAGGTGAGTGCTCCCCTTGGAAATACACCCTCGCAAAGCACCTTAGATGGAACTGAAGATCGCTTGATGTCTTTGCTTGTTCCCTGTCTCCTCCAAGGCCCTTCATGTATATTCCAGGGCTGTTCTCTTCTGAGCAATATCCCTTCCCAGGATGGCTTGGTTAGAAGACTCATAGGTAATCATGCCGCTCTAGAATGCAGAGCATCAATGTTTGGGGGATCATCCTGCCCTATTATGTCTGCATTGTTAGTGAGAGTGACCCTGTCCCTGCCAGAACCAATGGAGGGAACCACTATTACTCCAGGCCTGTTCTGGGCTTGAGTTCTGTTGTGTGTGGCCTTTGCTTCACAAGTCTTCCAGATGCCTTTGCATGCTCTCCACCTTGTGATTTACAGCTGTGCTCCACAGTGCCTCCCTAAACTGACTCTCTTCCTCTTCTCCTAGTGATGGGGAGCTGGAATCCAGATACTCCTCCGGGTATTCCTCTGCAGAGGCAAGTCCAGAGCACCTTTCTGCGTAGGGCCAGGCTGCAGGCAGCATTACCACCACTGCCAAATGCTTGTTTGGTGCCCGCTGTGAGCACAGCACTGTGCCAGACTTCTGGTCTGTTCTACAGTCTTCCACTCTGCCCTCTTCCCCCTGTGGAGGTATAGGTGACTAAGGAGGGCTGTTGAGAATCCAGGAGACCATATACACTCACGGCTGGAAATGATCTCAAAAGTCATGTAAGCTGCTACTAGGGAGGCTGAGGCAGGAGGATTGCTTGAGCCCAGGAGTTCAAGACCAGCCTGGGCAATATAGCAAGACCCTGTCTCTAAAATAAGACTCTAAAGTCTTCTAGGCTGCAGCTTAGAAAAGGAATCTTTTTTGGGGAGGGGGGGTTGTTGTTATTGTTTTCTTTTTTTTGTTTTGTGTGTGTGTGTGTGTGTGTGTGTGTGTATGTGTGTTTAGAAAAGGAGTCTTTTTGATAGAATCTAGCTAAGTGTTTACTAGTTTGTGCTTACTTGAATGCTTTTTGTAATTGGGTATGCACCACCTCCAAGAAGCCTTGCTGCCCTGCCCACCCTTCCCTCAACACACACATACACACAACTTTGAGTAGCTCTTAGAGAGATCTTCCTTATTAATCCGAAATGGTTCTTACAGCCTGGGTCCATTGGTCCTTGTCCTGCTTTCCAGTGTCATACAGCAACTCCAGTCTCTCTGAGGTCAGCATTTCTGTCTCTCCCCTGCCCATCTTCCACCAAGCTTGCTTTCTTCCAGACCAAACAACTTCTGTTTCTTCAGTTGCTTCATCTATGAAAACTCAGGCTACAACACTACTCGGATAGCCATGTGGCCATTTTTCCAGAGTGACTGTCCCAGATAGAAATCTAGGGATGTAAAGTCCTGGTGTTGACAGCTCATTCCCTTTGACAGAGGTGAAAGCCCTGGGGACCTGACTCTACACCACTGTTTTGTTTTTTTTGTTTTTTTTTTTTTTTTTTTAAATACAGGGTTTTATCATGTTGGTCAGGCTGGTCTTGAACTCCCGACCTCCAGTGATCCGCCTGCCTTGGCCTCCAAAGTGCTTGGATTACAGGCGTGAGCCACCGTGCCCAGCCTACACCACTGGTTTTTCTTATTCTCCTGGAAATCTTGGCTAATCTCTGAGTTTCTGCCACAGAGAATAGAGGCTGTTTGCAAATTGTGTCCTCCTTAAATGTCTGAGTGTCAAAGATTGTGTCTAAGAGGAAGTCTTACACTTTCCCCAGCCTTACTTATTCTTCTTATGCTCAGTGAACTGATGAAACCAACCAACAGATTCCACTTTGCAGGGACCCAGCTCTGCTGGCATCAAAGGATACGTCTAAATCTAACCAGCAGTGTGTAGACAAAGCTGCTCACCACACCCTTCCACCGTAGCCCATGTTCTACTACGCTAGCCCATTGTTCTGTGATCTTTGTCCCATATTCTTCAGCCTTGATGGATGCTAGTCTGGGATCCCAGTGGGAACAGTCAGGGCACTGATTTTCACACATAATTGGGAACTTGATATTTATATGAATGCTTCAGTATTTAGTGAGAACAGATCCGCTGGGGGTCAGTGACAGTGAAGCCTGGACAGTACTAAGGCTTACTGCTGACTGAGGCACAAGTAGGAGAAAGTGGCACTTTGTCCTGTAGTCCAGGGATGTGTGGGGTTGGCCTGGTGGGCGGGGAGTAGGCATGGACAGGAAGCCCTGATAAGGGAATGTGGGCCTGTCTTTTGGGCAGCGGTTATTTCTGCTTTGCATCTTGGCCTATAGTTCCCTCTTCTCCTTCTCTTAGCAGGTGAACCAGGATGTGAGCCGGCAGCTGCTTCAGGATGGGTATCACCTGGATGAGATTCCAGATGACGAGGCCTTAGACCTCATCCCCCCTAAGCCCATGGCTGCTTCAACATGCTCCTGCTGCTGGTGCTGTCTTGGGGACTCTTCCTCCTGTACCCTCCAGTAGACATTACCCTCCAAAACTGGCCCTGTTCACCGTGAGGCCTACAGAGCCCTGTTGGCCACTCAGCTCACAGAGTGCAGTGAGAACTGGGGTCACTGACCCCTAGAAAGTGACCTGCAGGTAGCCCTTACCTGTTGCTTCTCAGGCCAGAGGCCCCCATCTGGGCTGTGGGGTGATAGGTAGAATTCTGCAGATTTCCTCTGCTGTTGGAGCAGAGTTTGGAGAAGCCACTTTAATAAGGGCAGGACAGAGGAATTCTGGTTCTTGTGGTGGGTGACAAAGGTAACTAAGGAAAACAGTTGCAGACAGCTGGTATTTGTCATGGTGCTTCAGGGAGGCACAAAGAGCTCTTGTGCCAGGCTGGGCTAGATAGTGTTGTGTGGAGGCAGAAAATGGCACTTTATGGTTTATAGCTATAGCTGGCAATCCAAAAAAGAGTTTAACTGTTTTGAGACCAGTTCGAGAAATTCCATTTGCCCTATTCTTCCTAGCTCTAAGATGGGCTGCAGGCTTGACCTTCAAGAGAGCATCAAGTGAGTCCTTTCGTCCCTCTTCAGGTTGCACCTGTCTATGACAGGGATAGCAAGTTGCTTAATGACACAGCATGATCCTGGCTTCCAGAATCCCTGGACCTGGGGTATCCCCAACTGGTCCAACTGTCTGGGTGAGTTTAGTGACTCTGGTTCGCCCTTCCCTAGTTAGAGAAAAGCTGCTTCAGCATGTTCATATTTATTTATTTGTATTTCCTTGATCTGGGCTGCTTTCTTTCCCAGTCTTTGAGCTAAAGATTGGGTCGAAGGTACTGGGGCTGGCCCCAGAAGGTTGCAGTTTTTGTTATTACCAGCAGAGGGAGCTACAGGGGAGCAGTCCAGTGCCTTCCTATTTGCTTCGCTTTTTAAACTTTTGAAAAGTAGCAATGGGTGAGAGGGGGTATAGAGCAGGGTGGGCTTTGTCCTAGACTGAGGCTTACAGACAGGAATGGGAGCAGAGACCTAAGCCAGCTCCTAGGCCCTTGGCTGAGATCAGTCGGCCAGTGTAAAGGGCCTCCCTTCCCTCCGGCGGGACCATTCCATTGTCAGATTCTTTTGGTCACAGCATGGGCCTCGTTGGATACGCAGGATTAGGCTTTAAGCGGACCTCTGGGTGTAACACAGCCTCTTTCAGCCACCAGCCCAAACACAAAAAAAGTAGGCATAATTTCTGCTGTGACATCCCCTGCCCCCATATTGGAGAGTGTCTCTTGCTATACACTATACCAAGCCTTTTTCTAGAATTTTGTTCAATAGGTGTTTTTTGTTTTGTTTTGTTTTTTGGCCTCACCCAGGACCGTGGTGAGTGTTCTGCTTTGTTTTATTGGAGACAGGGTCTTTGTCACCCAGGCTGGAGTACAGTGGTGCAGTTATAGCTCACTGCAGCCTCCACGTCTCAGGCCCAAGCAGTCCTCCCACGAGGTGAGCTTTGAATGGGAATAGACAGGGTTCCCAACCCAGTAGTCGGGATTGGGGTATAGATTCCACACGGGAAAATATCCAGTCTCTTGCTCTACTCGGTGTTCTGTTATCACTGGAGGCATATGAGAGACAGCACACTCTTTTTGCTCTACAAGGGGTGACTGGAAGATGAGAAAGTCTAATAAAAAGATACGGCGTTATTTGTTATTTGTCAGACAAGGGTCCTCACGATGGTAATCCTGTGAGTGCTTGATGGACATCTGTGTTTTTCTCAAACCGTGGAAGGTTGAGAGGAATATGCAGTATCTGGGGGCTGACTTACTCTCCTAGCTAGCAGCATCACGGCAGGGAGATAGGACAGAGACCAGAGCCATGCCAACTTGGGGTCTGGGGGAGAGGAGGCAGATGGTTACTCTGTTATGGAATAGGACTCTGCAACTCTATGCAGGCGGCTGACGTGCTGAGCCCTTTGTGCAGATGCCTGCGGGGAGCAAGAACATCTCCATCCTGAACCCCTTTGCCATCCGCAGAGATGGGGGCCTTGTGTCTGCAGAGGTGAAGTGCACATGTGGAAAGGGATCAAACGTAGCACAGTGTAAAGACGGTGGTGTGGGTGGAAGGACCCAGCGCTTGCCAGGAGGTGGCTGTGGAAGCTGAGTGTAGAGCCACATCTCTGTCGGAGGTGGTCAGGGCAGAGTAGCCTGGGTGTTTAGCAGCTGCTGGGGTGAGGGTGGCAGGACCCCAAAACCAAGGCCCTCTGTTGTATCAACTCTGACATATTCAGCTGCAATTGTCCTTGAAGAAGAGTTTTCTAAGCTGGGTCCCATGTAGGAGGCTGTTACCCTGTAGAAAAGCTGGAGTAACCTGGTGGGACAGTGCAGTGAGGCATGGTAGAAATAGTTGTTTAGGGCCAGTAGCCACATACCAAAATACCACCAATGTGCCCAGGGCCAAACTGCCTTAATTCAGAGTGCTGGGTGTTCTGCAGGTGACAGTTTCCTGGAGAGAGGGGCGTGTCCAGACTCACCTCCCAGACACGAGTGGTACCATATGGTGTTTATGTACTACTCTACCGAATGCTTGGCTTGCACTTCTACAGCTCTGTACATTTATAAGAATAAATGCAATCACACTAGTTGAGCTATGTCTATGTTGCATTAGGATTTTAAAGAAAGGTCTGGATATCCTGAAATGAAGAAATAGCTTAATAGCCCACTACAGCAATTCCTTCTGGAAACTCCCTCTCCTTTCTGCTCTTCCCAGGGGGCACCACTTTCGGGCCTGTTTCATTCGACAGCGTGAGTGAAATAGGCCCTCGCAAGTCACTTCTCTAAAATGGGTTCCCCTTAGCAGACTTTTTCTAGCTTTTTTTTTTTTTTTTGAGACGGAGTTTTCGCTCTTGTTACCCAGGCTGCAGTGCAATGGCACGATCTCGGCTCACCGCAACCTCCGCCTCCTGGGTTCAGGCGATTCTCCTGCCTCAGCCTCCTGAGTAGCTGGAATTACAGGCACGAGTCACCATGCTCAGCTAATTTTTTGTATTTCTAGTAGAGACGGGGTTTCACCATGTTGACCAGGATGGTCTCGATCTCTTGACCTCGTGATCCACCCGCCTCGGCCTCCCAAAGTGCTGGGATTACAGGCTTGAGCCACCGCACCCGGCTTTTTTTTTTTTTTTTTTTTTTTTTTTTTTTTTTTTTTTGAGACAGTCTTGCTCTGTCACCCAGGCTGGAGTGCAGTGGCGTGATCTCGGCTCACTGCAACCTCTGCCTCCTGGGTTCAAGCGATCCTCCTGCCTCAGGCTCCCAAGAAGCTGGGATTACAGGTGCATACCACCACGCCCAGCTTATTTTTGTTTTTAGTAGAGACGGAGTTTCACCATGTTGGTCAGGCTGGTCTCGAACTCCTGACCTCATGATCCACCCACCTCAGCCTCCCAAAGTGCTGGGATTACAGGTGTGAGCCACTGCGCATGGCCTCCACTCATCTTTATTGTTTTTTAGCTGAAGAAAATTTGAAGGCAAAAAAACACAGGAGATTTTTTGAAGGTGGTTTCCTGGAACTCCATTGTACAAGGACTTTAGTGTGGGCAGAAGCCCAGAAAGATTCTTTACTTTGAATTTAAAACTTTACCTCACAGGAAGGAGCCAGTGGATTAAGACTGATTAGTCTCGGATGACAGTGTCTACGATTGCAGGTCAGAAACGTGAACAGCAACAGACAGCTGACAGCCTCTCGCAGGTGTGTCCCAGCCCTGGAGCAGGGCATCAGGAGAGATTCCCTCTTACGTATTTCCTGCCAGCTTAGGAGAGCTAACTGGGCTTCTCACAATGAAAATTGGCTAGTTCAGTTCCTGAGTCCCTCCCTGTAATCTGCAACAGTTGAGTATGTTCTAGAGAAGGGGTTGACAATCAGTAGTTGGGGCTTTGCAGGCCATACAGTCTAGTGCAACTCTTCAACTTTGCCCCTGTGGCTTAAAAGCAGCCAGACAGTATATAAATGAACAGGTTTGGCCAGAACTGGCCTGCCAGCCTGGTTTGCTGACCCCTGCTCTAGGGCCAATTGAAAAACAGGAGCGAAGCATCTTGCACTGATGATTGGTGTATCCTTTGAGCCACCTTCTCTCTGTAGGGCTGGAGGACCCAAGGCCTGCTTGCAGCTGTGCCTCTGAGGCTGAAGCTGGCTTCCTCTTCCACTCCTTCCCATACAAGTGTTCTGGAGTATAGTTTACCCACCCCCAGAAAACTGTGAAGTAGGCATAACGCAAAAACTGGGGCATCATGCAAGGAGGGCACTTTCGGCCCATTTTAGGAACAGGTACCCCAAAGGCTGAGTGCTCATTACCCCACAGCCTCAACACAAGTGACTTTTAATTGCTTTGACAGAACAAGAGGGTGTAAACAATGTCAGTCCACAGGCCTTCCCTTTCCCTTTCCTCCTCCGCAGCTGAGGAAATGGGTAGTCCCAGGGCAAGAACACTGTTCTTGGAAATTACCAGACCTCTTGCTCCGACAGATGCTGAGCTAATGCTGGGTCACGGATTTTGCCGGCTAGCCTGGAGCCATAGGCTAGAGCAGAGTTGGCAAGAGCCTGGCTCAGGTGTAGCAAAGAGTGGAGAGAGAAGACGGAAAGTGTCAGACCCCTCACACGGGCCTCTCCTCCCCAAAGATGGTTCCATCTAGGTGTGTTCAGGAGTCACTACCTTCAGGCTCCCTCCTCCACCCCAGCTCTTCCAGGGTATACCTAAGGGGTCCAGAGCAAGGAAGGGGGCTTGAGCTGGGCCTGAGGTGAGGCTGGCTGGAATTCAGGGTGACTGGCAGAGGACAGCTAGGGAGGCTGTGGCCTCTACAGCAAACAGCAGGCACGGAATATCAGCAGGTTCTTCGGCTCAGTAAGCTTCAGTGAGACACTCTCATTGGCCCCAATGAAGAGCACGCCGCCACGCTGCAGAGGGATTGGCGTCTGGGCTGTGGGTGTGCTGGCTGTCACTGCTCCCTGTACCATCAGAAGGATGCTGGCAGAGTCCAGTGCCAAGACCTTGTATTCAGTGACGGAGCCGGGGACCTGGGCAGGGGGAAACGATAAGTGCAGCTTCGACTCTGCTGTCATCAGTTCATGGGCCCAGGACAGTCCCCAGGGCACAAGGGAGAGCTCTGCCATCTTCTCCCACAACCCAGGCTCAGTCAGCATGGAGGCCTGGTCCCTGGTACAGGGAGGAGGGAGCAGGCCCTGGGGCCACCCTCCACCAAGTGGGCTTGACAGGAGACCCAACCCCAGGTGTCCTCCACATCGTGACTCTTGCCAGAGATTTTCATGGCACACGAAGGACACCTGCCATGGCCCCTCACTCACCTCCATCTTCATAATGGTGAAGTCTGGCACAGGGGGGTCATAGATTGAGAGGTAGGGGTCTTCCTGACTCCGTGTTGGGAGAAAGAGCCTGTCCTTGCTGGAGCTAGGGGTATAGCTGAGCATTTCACACAGGGTTGGCACGTCAATGAACTTGGGTGTCAGGCCAGCACGCACTGTGTTGTCTGAACACGCCATGCACTCCACGCAGTCTGGAGAGACAGTTGTCATGTGCTAAGCTGGTGAAGTATGACTTGGCTCTCCAGCTCTGGGCCTCTTAACCTGAGCTCCTTGAACCCCATGCCAAGTTAGGCAAAAACTTCCATGAATTGTATTCTCTGGGATAATGGGGCTAAGATAATCAAATATCAAAAACAAGTGACAGGTCACCCATTATTGTCAGAGGGGAGTCATGTTAACCCGTGGGGGTTGGGGAGCCCCAACTCTCATCTCCAACTTCGGGCACAGAATCCTGTGCATGAGGCATGTGTGGATAAGCAGCCAACAGTCAAAAGGTGGCATCCTTCTGTGGCAACATCCATATTTTAGTGTAAAAATCCCTGGGTGGGTAGGACAGGCAGGCAAAGGCTGTGAAATAGAACAGCTTTGACCCAGTATAGCCTGGGTTCAAAGCGTGGTTCCCACACTGGCTAGCGGGGCTTAAAATCAGTAGCATGACACAGGTTTGGTGGCAGGATTCAAGCCTTGTTCAATGCTAAATGCATTCATCATCCCTACCAGCTGTTTCCTGCTGCACCCAGGAACCCTCAGAGGTCAGCGCTGTGTGGCCCTTGGAGGTCTCCTTGACCACCCTTCTCCCTCTTTTGTCTAGTTAGGGAAACAAGGCCCAGGAGGGATGGCAGTGGGGCTCACTGCTGAAATGAGACTCACCTCCGTTCAGGTAGGCATGGGGCACGTTGGCCTCCAGAAACATGGCCTCCCCAGGCTTCAGGGTAAGCAGGTTCAGGAAGTAGATGGCAAAGCAGCCGATATCACCGGGGTACTGCTGGTGCAGCTGCATCAAAAGCTCCCCAGAGATGTCCTCCATGTTGTTTCCGGCAGCCACTGAGGGTCACAGAGCACCCCAAGGTCACTTAGGGGGATACTCAGTGCTGTTCATAGCCCCACCTTAGCCAGGGAGTCCTGGGAAAAGTTCCCTGCCCACAGGAATCCAGAAGCCAAAGGAGCCCCGTCCTTCTGGCCACACCTTCAGCCCTTTGGGCTCCAGCCTTGCTTGATACGCCATACAAATGCCATCTAAGGCCACTCCAGACAGCATGAAGCAGAATGTGCCAAGGGCCAAAATGTGCCCTGGAGACGATAGCTCAGCCTGGGTAGAGTGGCAAGGGCAGGCTTTTTAATTTTTTAATTTTTTATTTTTTTTAAAGACAGTCTTTCTCTGTCTCCCAAGCTGGAGTGCAGTGGTGCGATCTAGACTCACTCTAACCTCCCCGTCCCAGGTTCAAGTGATTCTCATGCCTCAGCCTCCCAAGTAGTTTGGATTACAGGCACACACTACCATGCCTGGCCAATTTTGTTTTTGTATTTTAGATGGAGCCTTGCTCTATCACCCGGGCCAGAGTGCAGTGGCACAATCTCAGCTCACTGCAATTTCCGCCTCGCCTGGCTAATTTTTGCATTTTTAGTAGAGATGGGGTTTTGCCATGTCGGCCAGGCTGGTCTCAAACTCCTGACCTCAAGTGATCCACCTGCCTCAGCCTCACAAAAGTGCTGGGATTACAGGCATGAGCCACAATGCCCAGCCAAGCTTCTTTAAAGTGAGGTAGGGGGTCTGGCATGGTGGCTCATGCCTGTAATCCCAGCACTTTGGGAGGATAAGGCAGGCAGATTGCCTGAGCTCAGAAGTTTGAGACCAGCCTGGGCAACATGGTAAAACCCCATCTGTACGAAAATATAAAAAATGAGCTGGGCATGGTGGCACATGCCTGTAATCTCGCTACTCGGGAGGCTGAGGCAGTAGAATTGCTTGAACCCAGGAGGCAGAGGTTGCAGTGAGCCAAGATCACGCCACTGCACTCCAGCCTGGGGCAACAGAGAAAGAACCTGTCTCAAAAAATGAAAGCGCGCGCGCGCGCGCACACACACACACACACACGGAACAGGAAAAAATATGCTTGTGTAAAATAAATGGTGCCCTAAGGCTCAAAGGTAGCAGGGAAAGAAGTTGAGACCTCATCAGCTGCGCCGCATAAGCTCACTGCTGGGAGTCTGTTCTGCTTTGTGTTTCTTACTGCTTGTGTTGACTCCCCACCTTTGGGGTGACATGACCACACCCATCACAGTCATTTCCTGAACTCTTCTTAGCACAGGGTCAGGCACACAGCAGGTACAGGAAAGATCAAATGACTGAGCGCTGGAGGCATCAGGCCTTTCCAGGAGAGGGAGGATGCTCTTGTCCCCTTCCTGCCTCTTTAGCTCCAAGATACAAGTTCCTCCATGGAGGGCTGCTGTGAGGCTGGCGAAAATCTCAGCATGCCTACTTGGAAGGCATCCTGAGTCTTCTATGCCGGCCGGGCGCGGTGGCTCACGCCTGTAATCCCAGCACTTTGGGAGGCCAAGGTGGGCAGATCATGAGGTCAGGAGATCGAGACCATCCTGGCTAACATGGTGAAACCCTGTCTCTACTAACATACAAAAAATTAGCCGGCCATGGTGGTGTGCGCCTTTAGTCCCAGCTACTCAGGAGGCTGAGGCAGAATTGCTTGAACCCAGAAAGCGGATGTTGCAGTGAGCTAAGATCATGCCAGTGCACTCCAGTCTGGGCAACAGAGCGAGACTCTGTCTCAAAAAAAAAAAAGTCTTCTATGCCAGTCTGCCTCCAGCCATCTGGAGAAGATGACTGGTTGGGAAACAGCACTCAGCCAAGGGCCCTGCCCCACAAAGACTAGGAAAGCAATGCTAAGTTGCCAACAGGGCATCTAAGCTGGGCCCCTTCTAGTGTTCCACTTGGGCAGAGGAATTGAGAACCCTGTCCCCGGAGTCTGGTATCTGCAGGGGAGCCCAGGCCAGAGCTCGGCACCCACCCAGGAATATAACCATGCCCACCTTGCTGCGAGATCCGCTTCACCAACAGGTTGAGCTGTTCCACCACCACCTTCTTCTCACTCTTCATCAGGTGGGAGAAACAGCTCTTCAGAGCAGAGGCCACAGCCTGGGAGTCACGGCTCATGCTCTGCTTCAGGTGTGTTGCTGCATCATCTCCAATCAGGACCTGGAACTCAGGCACCTCTACAGGAAGGCCAGGCCCAGGGCCCATATCAGGAATGGTAAGAACCCACACAAGTAAGGAGTTGGAAGAGGCCTTCCCATCCCAGCCCTAACCAAAGAGCCAGCAGTGTTAAGCAAACTTTGCAGTGGAAACCAATCACTCACCACCAGCCCTTGGCAACCACACCTGAGCCTGGTCTGACCCACTGGCTCCAAAAACTGCTTCATGAGGCCCTTCAGTGCCTGTGACATGTGACCTCTATTCTTTGCCAATGTTCCTACTATCATCTGGATTCCCTAGGTATCCCTGGCCCAATACACATGCCCTCAGCATTCTGCCCAACTTACTCTTCAGAAAGGTTACAATCTCCTCAACTGGCCGGAAGCCACACAAGCCCTGGAAGGGGGTGAGGGCAATGGCCATCTCTGGCTTATGGTTGGCATCGGGGTAGTGCTGTGGAGCCTGGAGGTGTAGCTTCTCTGCCAGCTCCTGTGGGGTGGCCAGGGAAACAGGAGGATGGTGAGGGTAGCCATTAACTAGCAGGGACACCATTGCTACCCAGCCCCTGCTCTCTACCCTCCTCAGTCGCAGGATGGCAGTGGCTGCCTACCTCCGGCAAGGAGCCCAGTTAAAGCATGATGCAGAAACTTGGAGTTCAGCCTACCCAGGGTAGGGAAATGGGCCAAATCCAGGGGAGAGCTGGGGTGGATTCTAAGAGGCTTGGTCTGTGAATCAGGAAACCCAAACACCAGGCTAACCTCTGACGTGAACAAGCTTTTTGGCTTTGGACAAATCCCTCCATTCTCTGGGTCTTACTTTGTGTATCTAGAAATAAGGAGTTTTGGCTGGGTGCAGAGGCTCACACCTATAATCCCAGCACTTTGGGAGGCTGAGGCAGGCAGATCACTTGAGGTCAGGAGTTTGACACCAGCCAGGCCAACATGGTGAAACCCCGTCTCTACTAAAGATACAAAAATTAGCCAGGCACGGTGGCACATACCTGTAAATCCCAGCTATTTGGGAAGCTGAGGCAGGAGAATTGCTTGAACCAGGAGGAGGAGGTAGCAGTGAGCCGAGATCACGCCATTGCACTCCAGCCTGGGTGACAGAGCGAGACTCCGTCTCAGAAAAAACAAAAAGGAGTTTGGATCCACAATTACTTAGGATGGGACTCAGGCTTGCATAGGGAGACTCCATGGGGTGGAGCTAAGGGTATCTGCCCTGCCCTGCAAGTTGAACTCTTCCTGAAAGCAGATGAGTAAATGGCAGATATGAATAGACCTAGGCTAGGTGAGGGAAGACCAGGAACAAGCCCCTTGGAATGAGCTTAGAGAAACCCCTGGCACAGGCCAGTCAGCTGTTTGCTTAGACTTAGTTGCTGCATGTGTCACCACCATCTGGCTTTGCAGAGCTAAATTGGGAGTTGTCAGCCTGGATTTGGCCTTGCGCAGGAGCCTGGCATGGGTGGGGTAAAAGCGGCAGTAAAAGTCATGGGAGGGCCTTAGCATAGCCTTACTCTACCCTGACCTCTGCACCCTACTCTCTACTCTGTCCTTTACCTTGTTAGGGTGTGCCTGGATGGATAGGGCTGTTTCGACTGAGAGCACTTTGAAGAGGAAGGGCAGGTTGCCATTAAAGGTGTCCTTGACCTTTGAGCCCAAGCTGTCCTGGTTCTCAGCAATCCACTGTCCGAGGGTTTTCTGTGAGATGCGGTTGTCAAGGATCTTGGCATCCCCTCGGGGGTGAGTCCCCATCCACAACTGGAAAGACAAGAAATGTGGGAGGGGAGGGGGAAGAAACCTGGCACCCTGAGTTGGCCTGTCCCAAACGGTTGTGCTGTGCTCCCCACAGGGCAACTGAGTCCTAGGAAAGGCCTCCCAGGCCTGAATACAAATGTTCATGCCATCATGGACATACAGAGAGGCAGCAGACCCAGGCCCTGTGAGGGGTTAACATACATCTTCCAGTTTCAGAAACAGAGGCGAAAGCCTTCCTATGCTTTGGCTTTTTCTCCACTAAAAAGGCAGAAATAGGAGAAATATTTTAGGTTAATAAAAATGCAAAAAAAAAAAAAAAAAGTTGAAGTAAAAAAACTTAATTGTCAAAGAGGGAGGAATTAAAATTCACTAAGTGCTAAGAGTGGCTGGGGGAGGAGAGTGCTGGAAATCTCAGCCTGTTATGATAAAACCTCTCCTCTTATGGTGCCACGATAGTCCATCAGCCTGAAGAGCCAAGTGCGGCTCCTCCCTCCTTGCTGCGTCGCCCTTCCCAGCTGATTCTTATGACTTGTCTTGGGCCCTTCCTCCTGACCTGCGGGGAGAGTAGGCTGGAATAGGGCCCGGGGCTCACCTCTGCATAGGGCTTGTCCTCTGCGATCCGGGTCAGTGGGTCACTGCTGGCCAGCAGCCGTGCCACTTCGCTGTTAGAACCCATCTTCCCCCAGGCATACTGCTGCACGGCACAGGAAAGTGGGAACACTGGGGGTACAGACAGAGGGTCAGCTGCCGCTCCACTCCTCAGGCCCCACCTTAGTGTCCCGGGAAACCAGCCAAGAGCTGGGGGTGCTCACGTGGGACAGAGTCAAACAAGGGGTTTGTAGGCTGCTGGGCGCGACCCGCCTTCGCTGCAGGCCTCGATGTTCCCAGCTGTCAGATGGGCAGCAAGGACCTTGCGCTGACCTGAGGCCGCGTGGCGAGGAGGGAGCGGGCGGTACTCACCCCAAGGCACCGTCCGTCAGGCCCCCTCCCCCCGGAGGTCAATCCCCATTGCAGGTGGCCCCTCCTCTGCCTGGCGCCCACCCATCTTTCCGCGGAGCCCCAGGAGTGGACTCAACGTGGCCGACCATCCCAGGATTCGTCCCCAGGACGCGCCCCACCTACCACACTCGCCGACACCACGGCCAATGGCTCACCTCGCGGAACAGCCATACTCGCCCCTTAACGCTTAACTTAAGCTCGTAAGCCTTTCCCGGCAGACCCCGCGGCCCTCTGCTCCCAGAGCTTCACGGGAAATGTAGTTCCCTCAGCGTTCCGCCCGGCCCCAGGGCACCAGACCAGAGGCTCCCGGCCTCAATTTTCGGTCTCTGCATTCATTCATTCCTCCCGTCGCCGGAGGAATGAAAACCAGCTAAGTACCACGGACAGTTCTAAGGGCTGGAGGATACATCAGAAAGCAAGATAGCCTTCCCTCTGCCTTTGTAGGGCGCTCACCTTCTGGTGAAGGCAAGACCGACAAGTATTGTAAGCAAATCACGTAGTGTGTTGAAAGGTCAAGGCCACAAAAAGTAAGGGGGAGCAGGTAGAAGTGGGAGGCAGTTTGCAGAATTTCAAAGGCTGTCTGGGCAAGCCTCATTGAAGTGAGGAAGGCAGGAGTGTTCTGCCAGGAAGGAAACAGCCACAGCGGGTGCCAGAGCAAGGCGGCAATGTGGGACTGTGCCGGGCATGTTCGGGAGTGACCAGCAAGGAGGCCACTGTGGCTGGAGCAGAGTGAGCAAGAGAGGGGCAGTGAGGATGTCAGAGATGAGAGGCGAGGGCAGAGCTTGGCAGGCTATTGTGAGGACTGGGTGTTACTCAGTGCTCAGCAGTTAGAGATTTGAGCAAAGAATTGCTGTGATGTGAATAGGGACATACTAGTGATGATGGTAAAAGTCACATGCAAGGCCCTTCACTTCTCTGAGCTTTGTAGAAAGGGGTGAATGATGCCAGCCAGACACGCTTGTTGGAGGGTCAGATGGGATGATGTGGGACACCTGCAACGTAGTCAGTGCTCTGTGCTCCTCTGATCCTTCCTGTCCCAGGTGCTGCGGAAAGTCAGAACCCCAACTCCTCCTCCAGGCTGAGCTGCTTACAAGCTGCACACAGAGAAGTCAGGGGAGTTACCAAGAGCTATGCATGGGGAAGGATGGGGTTGGGCCTTGGCTCTGCAGTAATCTTGCTATATCCTGTGGAGAAAGGCGTTGACATCCAGACCTCCCCAGTCAACAGCTTCCTAGGAGGAGGGCAGTCAGCTGGAGGGACTCAGGAGCACAGCAGTAAAACTCCAGGGAACCTGGAATGAGGGGTTACAGTTCCCGACTCTACCTTCATCATCCTGGCAATACCCTGATTCCCACAGTCTCTACCTCATGTGCCCAGGGGAAAGAGGGGGTGCTGTTTTCCCTGTAATGGTCTGCCCAGGTGTGGGTATCTACCTCACCTCTTCTGGGGTCCTCTGGCTCAGATAAATCAGCCTGCATGTCAAAGGAAGCTTTACCACACACTAAAGAATAATAAAATGGATAACACAAGACTCATGAAACAACGTAGCTCAATAATTTCTACTTTGGAATACCACTCCTTCCCCTCATCTCCACTCCCCAAGTGATATGGTTCGGCTCTGTGTCCCCACCCAAATCTCATCTCGAATTGTAATCCCCACATGTCGAGAGAAGGACATGGTGGGAAGTGACTGGATGGTTCTCCCATGCCGTTCTCATGATAGCGAGTTCTCACCTGAGCTGATGGTTTTATTTTATTTATTTATTTTCCTTTTTTTTAAAGACTGAGTCTTGCTCTTGTCCACCAGGCTGGAGTGCAATGGTTTGATCTCGGCTCACTGCAACCTCTGCCTCCTGGGTTCAACTAATCCTCCTGCCTGAGCCTCCCAAGTAGCTGGGATTACAGGTACCCACCACCATGCCCTGCTAATTTTTGTATTTTTAGTAGAGACAGGGTTTCACCGTGTTGGCCAGGCTGGTCTTGAACTCCTGACCTCAGGTGATCCCCCTGCTTCAGCCTCCCAAAGTGCTGGGATTACAGGCACGAGCCACCAAGCCGGGCCAGAGCTGACGGTTTTAAAGTATGGCACTTCCTCACTCTCACTCTCTCCTGCTGCCGTCTAAGACGTGCCTTGCTTCCCCTTCACCTTCTGTCATGATTATAAGTTCCTGAGGCCTCCCCAGCCATGTAGAACAGTGAGTCAATTAAACCATCGTTGTTGTTGTTTTTTTTTTTTTTTGAGAAGGCTTCTTGCTCCATTGCCCAGATTGGAGTGTAGTAGCACAATCTCCACTCACTGCAACCTCCGCCTCCTGGGTTTTAAAAACCCTTGCTTGTAAGCCATTGTGGAGTTCAGGTCTTAAGCATTAGCTGCCTGATTTTCCTTGCGTGGCATCTGCAATAGTTGTCTCACTTTCTTTTGCTGCAAGTCCCAGTGTCACTGTTTGGCCTTTTTTTTTTTTTTTCTTTGAAACAGAGTCTTCCTCTGTTGCTCAGGCTGGAGTGCAGTGGTAATCACAGTTCATTGCAGCCTCTACTTCCAAGATTCAAGTGATCCTCTCACCTCAGCCTCTTGAGTAGTTGGGATTATAGGCACATGCCACCACACCCTGCTAATTTTTTTATTTTTTAGTTAAAGAGATTGGGTCTCTGCCGGGTGCAGTGGCTCGCGCCTGAAATCCCAGCATTTTGGGAGACTGAGGAAGTCAGGAGTTCGAGACCAGCCTGACCAACGTGGTGAAACCCCGTCTCTACTAAAAATACAAAAATTAGCCAGGCATGGTGGCACGCACCTGTAATCCCAGCTACTCAGGAGGCTGAGGCAGGAGAATCACTTGAACCTGGGAGGCGGAGGTTGCAGCGAGCTGAGATCGCACCACTGCACTCCAGCACAGGCGACAGAGTGAGACGAGGTCTCCACAAAAAAAAAAAAAAAGAGAGAGACAGAGAGAGAGAGAGAGAGAGAGAGAGAGAGAGAGATTGGGTCTCACTATGTGGCCAGGCTGGTCTCGAACTCCTGGCCTCAAGTGATCCTCCTACCTCAACCACTCAAGGTGCTGGGAGTATAGGTGTGAGCCACTGTGCCTAGCCAGTGTTTGGCTTTTTCTGCACCCTAGGAAAGCAGGCCGAAGTTCAATTCGGTAACAACATTAAAATGGCGGACAGCAAGCACATTCTCTCTTCCTTTTGAGCTATTTATTTGTCTCTTCAAACTGCTTGCTATTTGCCACAACTAGGTATAAATTAACCTAGTAATACCACAAGGATACTGTAACCCATATCCCAGGGCTTAACAGTACATTGCCAATCACTAGTCAGTGCTATTTCAGTAAACCAATGAGAATTCCTGACAAAAGACTGTATCAGCCCACTCCTTGTCTCTGCCTTTTGCCTTTAAAAACATATTGTGGGCTGGACACGGTGGCTCACGCCTATAATCCCAGCACTTTGGGAAGCTGAGGTAGGTGGACTACAAGGTCAGGAGATTGAGACTATCCTGGCCAACATGGTGAAACCCTGTCTCTACTATAATTACAAAAATAGCTGGGCACGGTGGCTCACACCTGTAATCCTAGCACTTTGGGAGGCTGAGGCAGGCAGATCACCTGAGGTCAGAAGTTCGAGATCAGCCTGGACAACATGGCGAAACTCCGTCTCTACTAAAAATACAAAAATTGGCCAGTGTAGGGGTGGGGGTGGGCACCTGTAATCCCCTACTCAGGAGGCTGAGGCCAGAGAATCATTTGAACCCAGAAGGTGGAGGTTGCAGTGAGCCAAGATCATGCCACTGTACTCCAGCCTGGGCAACAGAGTGAGACTCTGTCTCAAAAAAAAAAAAAAGAAAAAAAAAAGTGATTCACGCCTGTGAGTCCAGCATTTTGGGAGGCCGAGGCGGGCAGATTACAAGGTCAGGAGTGTGGGACCAGCCTGGCCAACATAGTGAAACCTGGTCTCTACTAAATAGACAAAAAAAATTAGTCAGATGTGGTGGCATGTGCCTGTAATCCCAGCTACTCAGGGGGACTGAGGCAGGAGAATTGCTTGAACCTGGGAGGTACAGTGAGCTGAGATCGCATCCTGCACTCCAGCCTGAGTGACAGAGCACGACTCCATCTAAAAAAAAAAAAAAAAACCAAACTTTGTAACAAAGGCCTAATAGAGCTCATATCCAAGGTTACTCGGGTCTGTGTCTTATGGACAGCTGTCTCACTGTGAATCAAGTAACTTTATATTTTGTGACTCAGCCTCTTCCTTTTAGGTCAACAATCTAGTAGAACTGATCACACTCTATTATCTAGTGACAATACACTTTCCTCTCTCTCTTCCCTTCTAAACGATATGTCTAATTCAGCTTCGCATTTCTGCCAGTGCCCAGCTAAGGGTTCAAGCTATAATGGCAGCCTTTTTTTTGGGGGGGGGGAACAGAGTCTCAAAGGCTGGAGTGCAGTGGCAAGGTCAGAGCTCACTGCAACCTCCACCTCCTGAGCTCAAGTGCCTCCTGAGTAGCTGGCACTACACCACCACGCTTGGCTAATTTTTGTAATTTTTTGTAGAGATAGAGTTTTGCCACATAGCCCAGGCTAGTCTCGAATTCCTGAGCTCAAGGGATCCACTGTCCTCAGCCTCCCAAAGAGCTGGGATTACAGATGTAAGCTACTGCACCTGGCTGCAGCTAACTTTTATTGTTATAATAACGGCAGGAAGCAGACAAATCTTAGGCAGACAGAGACAGGTCCCCAGTGAAAACAAACCTTCAAAGCCTGAAAGCCAAGCTACAAGTTCTGGGTAAATCCATGGACTGGATTGAGAATTTCTCTTCCTGTTTGGTGCACTTTCCTCTGATTGATCCTCAACCTTCACCTATTTTACATATATCAACCCTTCCCTAATTGGTTTCTTACACCGTTGTGCCTATCTTTGAGTGCTGCCTTTGTTTTAGCCTTTTTTGCATACTCACAAACCAATCGGCAGGTACTCCCCCATTCTGAGCCCATAAAAGCCCCAAACTCAGCCACACTGAGAGGAAGACCACCCTACTTCAGGTGGACAACCCCCCGTGCATCGTCCTTTTCACTGAAAGCTGTTTAGTGGCTCAATAAAGCTCTTTGTCCTCCTCACCCTTCAATTCTCAACGTAAGCTCATTCTTCTTGGATGTGGGACAAGAACTTGGGACCCACTGAACATGGGTAAAAAGAAGGTTGTATCACTCGTTCTCTGCCTTCCACTGGCAGAGGTCAGCTGCCTCATGTGATGCAAAGCAGTGGTGGGACCAAGCCAGTCCTGAACTACAGGCTGGAATGGGGCGACGGGACTGACAGAGCTGTTAACACACTGGCTGCTGTCCATTGAGCTCTGGACAGCAGGAGGAAAAGAGCTATTAGCATGCTGTAACATCCCTTCTGGGGCTTTGGGGTCACAGGCATTCCTGTTCAGACACCACCATGTTCCCCTCAATATGACACCCCTGGTCCAGCTGCAAGCCCTGCATGGAGCCAACTCCTGTGTCTGCGCTTGGTATGGTGGCCAGACCCCATACTTCCTCACCAACTCACCTCCTTCCTCCAGGGGCTGAGTACAGGGATCTGCACTGGAGTGCAAGCCAAGCGTGGCCCACAGTGGGGTGAGTAGATGGGGCATCCTGAAGCAAGCCCAGGCCTGAACAAGGCCTGGGCAGGGTGTCACCAGCTGGAGACCTCCAACTGGCAAAGCGGCTGAAATAAAAATCCTGCATCATTATACACTGGGTATGGCCAGAGTCAGGCCTTATTTCCCCCTTATCTGGGGTCTATGTGACAGCAGTAGGCGTTTTCCATCTGATAGGGATCTGGGTTTCTGGAAAACAACTCAAGGGTATATGACAGCCAGGTGTGGTAGGTAGCTCACGCCTGTAATCCCAGCCCTTTGGGAGGCAGAGGCAGCTGGCTCACTTGAGTCAGGAATTTGAGACCAGCCTGGCCAACGTGGTGAAACCCCGTCTCTACTAAAATACAAAAAAAATTAGCTGGGCATGGTGGTTCGCACCTGTAATCCCAGCTACTTGGGAGGCTGAGGCAGGAAAATTGCTTGAACAATAGAATGAGACTCTGCCCCAAAAAAGAAACAAAAGGCCGGGCACGGAGGCTTTTTGTAATCCTAGCACTTTGGGAGGCTGAGGTGGGTGGATCACTTGAGGTCAGGAGTTCAAGACCAGCCTGGCCATCATGGTGAAACCCCATCTTTTTTTTTTTTTTTTTTTTTTTGAGACGGAGTTTCGCCCTTGTTACCCAGGCTGGAGTGCAATGGCGCAATCTCGGCTCACCGCAACCTCCGCCTCCTGGGCTCAGGCAATTCTCCTGCCTCAGCCTCCTGAGTAGCTGGGATTACAGGCACGTGCCACCATGCCCAGCTAATTTTTTGTATTTTTAGTAGAGACGGGGTTTCACCATGTTGACCGGGATGGTCTCGATCTCTCGACCTCGTGATCCACCCGCCTCGGCCTCCCAAAGTGCTGGGATTACAGGCTGGAGCCACTGCGCCCGGCCCACAAGTATTAATTACAGTCTGCAATAGGTATTGTGAAGGAAAAGTACAGGGCGATAGGAGAGCTGACGTTGGGTGTGAGGTGCTGATGTAAACAAGAGAATGAAGGGAAGCTACCCCTGAAGAAAGGCATCTGAACTTGCATTTGAAGGGTAAGGAGACGTTAACTGGAGGATGACAGTGGGGCATGGGTTAAATGCATACCAGGTAGAGGGAACACATGTGCAAAGGCCCTGAGACAGGAGGGCACAAGGAAAGTCTGTGGATCTGAAAAGCACTAGCATGGCTGGAATGCTGGGGGTTGGGCACCAGAAGGGGTCAGAAGGAGAGAAAGGTAGTGGCAGATCCTTTAGGACCTTGAAGATAAACTAAGAATTTGGGGCCAGGCGCAGTGGCTCAATGCCTGTAATCCCAGCACTTTGGAAAGTCAAGGTGGGTGGATCAACTGAGATCACCTGAGGTCAAGAGTTCAAGACCAGCCTGGCCAACATGGTGAAACTCCATCTCTTAAAAAAAAAAAAAAAAAAAAAAAAAAAAAAAAAGAATTTGGGCCTTTACGGATTTTTTTTTTTTTTTTTTTTTTTTTTGAGACGGAGTTTCGCTCCTGTTACCCAGGCTGGAGCGCGATGGCGCGATCTCGGCTCACCGCAACTTCCGCCTCCCGGGTTCAGGCAATTCTCCTGCCTCAGCCTCCTGAGTAGCTGGGATTACAGGCACGCGCCACCATGCCCAGCTAATTTTTTGTATTTTTAGTAGAGACGGGGTTTCACCATGTCGACCAGGATAGTCTCGAACTCTAGACCTCGCGATCCACCCGCCTCGGCCTCCCAAAGTGCTGGGATTACAGGCTTGAGCCACCGCGCCCGGCCTTTTTTTTTTTTTTTTTTTTTTTTGAGACAGGGTTTCACTCTTTTTGCCCAGGCTGGAGTGCAGTGGTATGATCTCAGCTCACTGCAACCTCCCCCAACCAGGTTCAAGTGATTCTCTTGCCTCAGCCTTCCAAGTAGCTGGGATTACAGGCACCCACCATCATGTCTGGCTTATTTTTGTATTTTCGTATAGACGAGGTTTCACCATGTTGATCACCAGGCTGATCTTGAACTCCTGACTTCAGTTGATCCCCTCCGCCTCAGCCTCCCAAAGTGCTGGGATTACAGGCGTGAACCACCACGGCTGGCCTCTTTATTTATTTATTTTTTTCTTGTAGAGACAGGGTCCTGATATGTTGCCCAGGGTGATCTTGAACTCCTGGCTTCAAGTGATCCTCCCACTTCTGCCTCCCAAAGTGCTGGGATTACAGGCATGAGCCATACACCCAACCCTTCATGGAAATTAATTGAAATTTTTAAAAGAAGTTTTGTGATAATTTTGCCCCCTTTAAACAGATCTTTGATCACAACATGAAAACAATAGATTAAAGCAATAAATAAATAATAAAACAATAGATTAACAGCACTTAATAGCAATTAACAGCACTGTATTAGTCCAGGGTGAAAATGACAGTGGCTGGGATTCAATGACAGCAGAGATGAATAATATCAGAGAGATCTAAATAAATAAGGTGGATTTGGCCAGGCAGTGGATCATGAGTATAATCCTAGAACTTTAGGAAGCCAAGGCGGGAGATAACTTCAGCCGGGGAGTTTGAGACGAGCCTGGGCAACACAGTGAGACTCCCATCTCTACAAAAAATCCATAAATTAGCTGGTATGGTGACGACCAGCTGTAGTCCCAGCTACTCAGGAGGCTGAGGTGGGAGGATCGCTTGAGCCCTGGAGCTCGAGGCTGCAGTGAGCCGTCACTGCAGTGATCGCCTCACTGCCCTCCAGCCTGGGAGACAGTGAGATCCTGTCGCAGTAAAACAAAAAAACAAAACGGAGTTGTGGACGAGTGAAGCGGCCACCTCCCCAATGATTGAGGAGGCTCCGTTGCTGAATTCCTTCATTCACTTACTAAATGCTTGATTCCCAGGTTCAAGTCCCAACGCTGATGCGCCCAGGAACCCTCATCCCTAAAACGATGAAACGACATCAGAGGACGAGCAGCCCTAAAAGAAGTAGGCTCAGCTCGGGTGCAGGGCTGCTGGATGGTCCTTGCTTTTCTCTCTCCGGGAACACATTCTGCAGAGGAGACGTTTTCCTAGTTCTCCCAAAGCCTCTCGCTCGCCTGTCACTTTTGTCCTCGGCCCTTGGACCGGTTTGGACTTCTTTCCAAACTTGCTCTCCAGGGAAGTGAAGGGGCTGTTTTACTGTCCCATTTTTCAGAGTTTGCTTTAGAAACATACAATTGTAAGGTATCAGACTGATAGGCAGTTGGGAAGGACTCCGGCCACGCCTCTGGCTCCGTGGACCCTCGGCCGAGACCCCCAAAACCCCAGCAGAGCGCAGTTGTGGACGGAAGCCGAATGCCCCCAGCCCTCGCACTCTCGTGGCCTGGGCAGGGGGGCGGAGCTGACCTCAGTGACGTCACAGAGCCACGCCCCTCGGGGGAGGGCGCCAGGCCACCGCCAGAACTGCTGCCTCGATCCCGGAAGTGGAGGGTCAACACGAAGCGCCGCTGGGTCTGGGTGCCCGGAGGCAGCAGCGTTCTAGGAGCTTGCCCGCCGGCCCCCGATCGCCATGTCGCTTTTCGACACCAACCCCTTCGCGGACCCAATGGACGTAAACCCCTTCCAGGTAGAGCCCTCCCGCTCCACCCAGCTCCCAGATTTCTCTAGGGCCAAGGGCCGCCGCCCGAGCCTACTTTGCCAGAGCCGGGAGACGTGGCTAGGACGGACGGGTCATGTACCCAATGGGAGAGCGGACTTTGAGGTGTGACCTATCGTAACGCGTGGAGGGCGGGACTAGCAGCAGGTGGAACTGCAGAGGAGGCGGGGCGCTGAAGTCTTGGAGGGAGTGGGGTCTTCTAGTACCCAGAGAGGTAGTCGGTCCGACTGGGCTGTGCTGGGGAACGTGGCTGGAGCAGACACGGTCGCACCCTTAGGGAGGTTCCCTCGCTTCACGGAGAATCGAAATGTGGCTGTCACATTCCCTCATTCTTGGGTACACACCTGTCTTGAGTCACCTTAGGAGAGGGGGTGACAGCCACATAATGAGGAGTTGGTGAAGCCTCTGGTGGGGTTGGAAAATGTGGAAAGAGCCCAGGACACCTGCCACCGCTCCACCACCAGCCGAACTAGTGTATAAAATACAGGAGAGCCCCTGAGATTTGTCAGGGAAAGAAGGCTGGGAGAGGGAGAGAAGGTAGCCTAAGTTGAAAAATGGCCTTGATAAAAATTCCACACTTTGGCCATGGATCTAGTTTGGAGTGGGTTTTGACCCGAGATCCCGAGTTAGGGAGAGAGGAGAGATGAGGGTGGCTCTAAAAGAGTCTGGACCCACAGGGAACGTTTGTCTGATGGACCCGTGTGTGGTGACAGCATAGTTAAGATGCACTGACCTGTGAGTTGGCCTGACCTTTTGAACAGCAATTGAGGAAGAAACAGCCTCCCTGCATTTTTATTTATTTATTTATTTTTTTTTTTGAGACAGGGTCTTGCTCTGTTGCCCAGGCAGGAGTGTAGTAGCACAATCTTGGCTCACTGTAGCCTCAACCTCCTGGGTTCAAGTGATTCTTGTGCTTCAGCCTCCCAAGAAACTGGAATTACAGGTGTGCACCACCATACCCGGCTAATTTTGTATTTTTAGTAGAGACGGGGTTTCACCTAGTTAGCCAGACTGGCCTCAAACTCCTGGCCTCAAGTGATCTACCCACCGTAGCCTCCCAGAGTGTTGGGATTACAGGCGTGAGCCACCACGCCTAGGCTCACTCTTTGTTCTTTCCTTTCTTTCTCTTTTCTTTTCTCTTCTCTTCTTGCTTTCTTTCTTCTTTCTCTTTCTTTCTCCTTCCTTCCTTCTTTTCTTTTCTCTTTGCTGACAGAGTTTCACTCTTGTTGCCTAGGCTGGAGTGCAATCGCAATCTCAGATTACTGCAACCTCCGCCTACTGGGTACAAGCGATTCTCCTGCCTCAGTCTCCCGAGTAGTTGGGATTACAGGGCTGCACCACCATGCCCAGCTAATTTTGTATTTTTGGTAGAGACAGGGTTTCTCCATGTTGGTCAGGCTGGTCTTGAACTCCCGACCTCAGATGATTTACCCAACTCGGCCTCCCTGGGATTACAGGTGTGAGCCACCACTCCTGGCCTCTTTCTTTCTTAAGACAGGGTCTCACTCTGTCGCCCAGGCTGTAGCACAGTAGAGGTCATGGCAGCCTTGACCTCCAGGGTTCAAATAATCCTCCCACCTCAGCCTTCTGAGTAGCTGGGACTACGGGCATGTGCCACTGGGCCTAACTCCTTTGAAAAAAAAATTTTTATAGAGAAGGGGTCTCACTGTGTTGCCCAGGCTGGTCTTGAAATCTTGGTCTCAAGCAATCTTCTGGCCTCAGCCTCCCAGAGTGCTGGGATTGCAGGCATGAGCCACAGCACAGTCTTCCTATTTAAAGCCCACACCTTTCTGCCTTTGAGCTGAGAGCACAGGGATGATCTTTTTCTACCACGCGGGGCTGAACTCCCGTTAGCGTCAGAGCTCCTGTGCCTCTTGTTTCACATCTGCTCAAAATGTGTTCTAGGGAACCTTGTTTGTGCTGGCTGGTGAAATTATGAGCCCTGACGTTCTGCTCTGTCAGGATGTCATCGGGCACATAACTCACCCTGCTTGTCCTTTATTTTGGTCACTGGCAGCTTTTAAGTTTCCTGCAGGTGTCAGAGAAGTCCTTGAAGGAGTCCTTCCTGCCGTTCACAGCATGAGTTTTTCCACTTTGAATCACTTCAAGGGTCAGAACAAAATGAAAGGAGACCTGAACTAAATAATTATACGCTGTCAGGAGAGTGAAAATGTTTTGCTGCTTTACTGGTCTCAGGGTGTCTTAGCCAACAGGAGCCCTCAGGGCGAATGCTGATGGCTTGTTTCTTAGAACATCAGGGAATTTTGAACATTCCTCTTGTAGCTTAATGCTTCTTGACAGAGCCTTCGAAAGGACCTTGCCTTTTATGTAACAGTCGCCCCTATTCATTGAGTAAAGGAAGAACATTTGCATTTTTTTTTCTGCCAATGTCATCTGGTAACAGACTTTAACTACAAAACTGCTGTATAATACTGGGGTTTGGGTTTTAGTAGGATCTTGGAGCCTTATGGGGTATGTGGTATGTGATGATTTTCTCTCGTGTGTGTGTGTGTGTGTGTGTGTGTGTGTGTGTGTGTTTTGTCAGAATCAGAAATAAAAAGTCTGCTGCTGTCTGACAGAGGTAGTCAGTTGTCTAAAGATGCAGAGAGTTTTTCTCCAGTGCTAGCAGTGGAAAAGACAGTTCTACCCTGTGTTCGTAGCTGCTTGAAAGCCTTCAACCTCATCTCTAGCCCTAAAAATGACTGTGCAAACTGTGGTAGAAGTAACTTCTGCTGGGCGCGGTGGCTCACGCCTGTAATCCCAGCACTTTGGGAGGCTGAGGCAGGTGGATCACGAGGTCAAGAGATCGAGACCATCCTGGTCAACATGGTGAAACCCGGTCTCTACTAAAAATACAAAAATTAGCTGGGCATGGTGGCACACGCCTGTAGTCCCGGCTACTCGGGAGGCTGAGGCAGGAGAATTGCCTGAACCCAGAGGCGGAGGTTGCGGTGAGCCGAGATCGTGCCATTGCACTCCAGCCTGGGTAACAAGAGCGAAACTACGTCTCAAAAAAAAAAAAAGAAGTAACTTCTGCATTTTAGCAGGACAGTCTGTCCATCAGGCAGCCCCAGGATATGGCATGACCGGAAGCAGCTGTGGTCCTGTCACCTAGCCACATCTGGTGGGGAGTCCTGGGTGGGAAGAAGCCAGCTGGCTGGCTGCGATTTGCTCCTCCTCATCCTGGGCTGGGCTTTTCCTCTTGGCACTCAGTGGTGTGGGGAGAAGCAGCTTTGGATGTGAGACCTCTGAGCTCCTGGTCAGAGCTGCCAGCCGCTTCCTTGAGATGGTGGTGTCTGCTTCCTTGACTGCCAGGGCTGCGACGTTGGGAGGTGCAGCCCTTGGGTGCCTGGGTGTGAGCCCAGCTTCATTTACTCAGGGTGTTGGCACCAAGTTCAGGAGAGAGCAGGTGGAGAGGCGATAGACTCAGAAACAGTCACACCTAGTCACTCTCTAGAACCGTCGTTTTTATTTCTGTCACGCAATGTAATGGTGGATTGCAAAAATAGACCTAGTGTTCAGAGTCCACGGTTGACGGTTCGAGCTGAGAATATTCCCAGAACTCTATTCTAACTTCTTCAGTTTAGAGATGAGGAAACCCAAGACCTCAGTGGGGATCGTTTGTGTCAGAGTCATCAGCTGTTTAGCAACAGGAAGGGGCTGACCTGGGTCTCATTCCCAGGACTGTGCTGGTTTAAAGGTTTTGAAGCTCACACGTTGGTGTTAAACGGCACTGGGGCTATTTTAGGCTGGCTAAGGAAAGAATGGAATGTAACATTATCATGTTGTCACCATTCTCGAGAGAGAGTCCTGGTAGTGGTGAAAGTGACAAATTAGTATTAGCTAAGCTACCGTTTTCTCCGGCCTGAGGAAATGGAATAATACACATCTTCTTGTGCTTCTGCTTTGTTTTTTAAATTTTCAAATTTTTTATTTTTTATTATTGTTTGTTTCTTTGGTTTTTTTTTTTCCCGTCGTCCCCCCCCACCCCCGCCCTGCCACTGGAAAACAGTTCTTGCGTTTTTTTTAAGACAAGTTTTTTAAATTTTTAAATTTATTTTTAATTTTTTTTAAAATTTTTATTATTTTTTTAAGTAGGGGTTTCACCACGTTGGTCAGGCTGGTCTTGAACTCCCGACCTCAGGTGATCCGCCCGCCTTGGCCTCCAAAGTGCTTGGATTACAAGCGTGAGCCACCACACCCGGCCAAGACAGTTTGTTTTTTTTTTTTTTCTGTGAGACATAGTCTCGCTTTGTCACCCAGGCTGAAATGCAATGGCGCAGTCTTGGTCACTGCAGCCTCCGCCTCCTGGGTTCAAGCAATTCTCCTGCCTCAGCCTCCCGAGTAGCTGGGATTACAGGCACGCCCACCATGCCCAGCTGATTTTTTGTATTTTTAGTAGAGACAGGGTTTCACCACGTTGACCAGGATGGTCTCGATCTCTTGACCTCGTGATCCACCCGCCTCGGCCTCCCAAAGTAGTACTGGTCTTACAGGCGTGAGCCACCGCGCCCGGCCTCCTTTTTTTTTTTTTTTTTAAAGATACAGTCTCACTCTGCCACCCAGGCTGGAGTGCAGTGATGCAATCTCGGCTCACTACAACCTCCGCCTCCTGGGTTTAAGCAATTCTCCTGCCTCAGCCTCCTGAGTAGCTGGGATTACAGGTGCGTGCCACCACGCCAGCTAATTTTTTTGTGTCTTTAGTAGAGATGGGGTTTCACCATGTTGGTCAGGCTGGTCTTGGACTCCTGACCTCATGATTTGCCCACCTCAGCGTCCCAAAGTACTGGGATTACAGGCGTGAGCCACCGTGCCTGGCCAAGCCTTGTGAATTGCTGAAAAAACAAACAGGTGCTTGCCGGGAGTAGTAGCTCACGCCTGTAATCCCAGCACTTTGGGAGGCCAAGGCAGGCAGATCACTTGAGGTCATGAGTTCGAGAATGGTCTGGGCAACATGGCAAAACCGCGTC